TATAATATATAATAAATTATATAAAATCAAAATTAAATAACAATAAATCAAATTTAGAGTTAGAAACTTGAAATTAGCTAATTAAAATCTAAATATCCAACAACACAAATAAATTAAACGAAGAAGATGACTTAAATTTAGAATTTTAGATGGTTAAATCAAATTTGTCCCGAATTCCCAATTAAAATGTTGATTTGTGGTTAAGTTGTGTGGGTCGTGGGCTTTTAAAATGAAAAATGGGCTTAATTTATGGGTTATCTAGTAAAAACTCACTAACCCAAGATGAGAAACCCAAAAGGAAATAGGCAAAAAGTTCAGCTGCCAAAAAGAGGGTAAAATCGAGATTTTACCCGATTTCATGGTAAAATCTAGATTTTACGTTTTTGACCCCAGATTTTATGAATTTCAGATTTTAGTATAGATTTTACACGAAATGTCTTGCTGAAATCATAAAATCGTAAGATTTTAAGATTTAAATATAGATTTTGACAACACTAGTTCTTACCATCATCATCATCTTCTTCTCCCTTTCATTTTTATTTTTCTTTCTTCTTTCTTCTTCTCCCTTTCCTTCTACCTTTCTAATTCTTGCATTGCATGTCTTCGTCTTTCCCTCTTGTTTCTACTTTTCTTTCTTCATTCCTTCTACCTCTCCTATTTTCATTTTTGGTTGCCATCCTTCTACTTTTCCTTCATTTTCTTTCATTCTTTCATCTCAAGCTTTTTATTTTCTTTTATTTATTTATTTTTTTGTTATTTTCATTTATAATCCAATTATTTTTATTTGATATACTAATAATAAATTTTTTTTTTTTGCAGAGTATTAAGCTTAAAATCATTTTATGAGGTAAATTCACATTTTGATTTATATTTTTCATTTCTTTTTACTTAAATAAAATCTTATAATGTACAGTAATGCTTTTTCCTTTCCCTTTTACAGGTATTTTTACTTTATTATAGGTAAATTACTTATCATTTATCTTCTTTTTCCATCAATTCTCATAATATTTGACTATTATTCTTGTTTTTCAATTATTCTCAAAATTATTTTATATATATTGTTGTTGCATTTGATTGATTTTATCATTGAATTTTGTTTAATGACTTTATAATTTAATTAACAACTACAAAATAAAAAATTTAATTCTACATTTTTTAATTCTAAATTTTTTTTATTACTAGAACAAGTATAATCGATAGCAAAAGCTATTGATTATACTAGTATAATCGACAAAATACATTTCTGTCGATTATACTATTTTTGACTCTTATATTTTCAACAAATTTAGCTGTTGATTATGTTTATCGATTATACCTATAATCGACATAATTTTCCCTATAACCAACAATATTTTCTATCAAATATACTCTGTTTTCTAATAGTGTTTATTCTTTTTATGTAACTTAATAACAAAAAGATACATTAATTACTTACTTAGAGTACAGATTAGAAAAACCCTATGTTTAAAGTAACATTATATTTTTTTGAGAATTTTCTGTCATCCCTAATATTACTATATTTATGGTCAAGGGAGTGGATGAAATTGGAAAAAAAAATAATAATAATTGGTTTCTTAAAATGTCAATTATTTTGAAGCTTCAACTCCTATTAATATGAAACAGAGGGATTAGCTTTTCAGCACAAATTAAAAAAACTTTTATTTAATTATCACACCTTTTATTTATAGGAGAAATTAAATGCTTCTATTCCAAATTTATCTTTATTACACTAATCTAATTAATGATAAGGGTGGGTAGAAATCTTCTATTAAGTGGTATTTCAATCTATAATAATTGGTTTTTTAGTTTTTTCCTAGCTAGGTTGCAGCTTTATTTGGTTTCAAACATCCTATAACTAGTAGTGGATATCTAATGTGATTACTACTTATTATTGTTTATAATTTAAACACTATTAACTCTCAAATTTTAGAACCATGACACTTGAAATGGTTAAAAAGCCTGCAACTCCAAAGTAGAACAACTGAAAAAGGAATCACAAGTTAAGGGCGAAAATCCTCTAAATTGATAAAAGGTGCAAATAATGACA